ATGATTGAAGATCATATAGGATCTATTGGATACAATTGGAGGTCAAATGAGTGAAATATAGTGGAAGTATTTTCACAAATCAATTTTTAGTCGAATAAGTTATGCTTCAAATTTTTAGCTTAAGCTTGAGACCCATTTTTCAAAAATTGTGGCTCTTTGAATAACAATTCCAACGCATTTTGAATCAGACAAATTTTCTCGCACGCTCATGGGCATTAATTTTACTTACTGAACCTAAAACTAATGAACGGCGCGCGCGCAAGGAAATATACGGCTAGCGCACATGCTTTTTTTCCAGACGAATCTTTAGTTTCCTTTCGAGATTCAAACTCTTTTAGAAACCAAATTGGACGCGATTTTAACCTATTTTTTAGCTCTTATAAATAGAGAATGAGGGCTACACATAGAAAAACCTTCTCTTACCTCTTCATACACCATAATTCCCTCAAATTTATCAAGAACAAGAGGTCAATTTCTATATTTTGAGAAACGAGATCAAGCCATAACAAGGAATTGAATGTCAATTACATTAAAATTTTGAAGAATTCAACATTGAGCGTGGAGATCAATATTTTTTGATTTATTTCATGATCCGAGTGATATTTTTGTATTATTCTTTTTGTAATTTATATATCAACATGCTATGCTAGATTTACTTTTGTATTGGATGTAGATGAACCTTATTTGTTTTAATTCAAGATTAGTAATTTAGTTTATTTATTGTGTTTCTTGATTAATTTTGCATACTCATTGCATTATTTAATTGATTGACCACTAGTTAGATAATTAGTTGCTTATTGTAGTGTTGTGAGACTCACAATAAGTTTAGAACACGATAAAATTAACATATGTGCAATAGATGTTAGGAATAACATTTATCACATGTGCAATCATATAGATAATCTAAACTTTAATGCATTCTAATCATTCGAATTCGGTTCGTGGTTAGAATAGATTTAATTTGTTTTTGGAAAAGAAAATTATATATCATAATGTTATCGATTGTCAAGAATGCATGAACGAAATTAGATTACAAATCAAGAATTGAAATAGATAGCAATAGGCGGATTCAAGATAAAATACAATCATCCATAATTTGATATAAAATACTTTTTTACCTCTTTCTTAGATAATTTAGCATAAAATCAAATCAAAATCTTTATTTCCTTTACATAATTCGAATTCCATGCATAACTAGTAAATTTGAATTGAATTTATTTCCTGTGGGACGATAACTCTCAACTTATCAATTCTACTACTTGTCAACGATCCCGTACGCTTGCTGGTTTTGCACGAACAGATAGTCTTCACTAAAACTTATGATGTTGATCGTCTACCAAATCAATTCAAATAGGAAGAAACAAAGAAATGAATATATTACATAACAATTTCTTAATTATATTAATGCCAGAAGGTTGTCCGCATCCTTCAAATTTGTTAATAATCGTACATTGCTGACTTATACTTACCTATTAGCACTTAAACAAGTAAAACAATTTATGACTAACTAGACTACTAACAATCTTTTTATCAAATTAAACAGACTAAAATAACAAGAAAGAATTTAACCAAATTACTAGAATCAAAGTTTCTTAATCTTCGTAGCCATTGTCCACAGCACATCCCCTGTTCACTT